TTAGAAGCTTGGAAAAGAGAATGGGACTAGGCCGAGGAATAAGGAGCATCTAGTAAAGTTTAGATGGAAAGCCTTTAGAATGAGGTCAGGACTCGAGCCGAGCTTCTGGGACAGGGCCAGGCACAGCACTTGGTGTAGGTGCAAAGAGGGAGAAATGCCACAGAGAAATGCTGTTTTGAGACTTGTCTAAACAGATTATTGACATAAACATATCTTTCTTCCTTTTCTCTCCCAGGGTATTGTGCTGGGATGTTACTTTGGGCCTGCTGCACTCTACATCTGGGCAGTGGGGATCCTGGCTGCAGGACAGAGCTCCACCATGACAGGAACCTACTCTGGCCAGTTTGTCATGGAGGTACGTGTGGTATGGAATAGAGAGAGAGAGAGACACAGCCCTTTTAACTCTTTTTAATCCTATGTTTCTGAGGTCTATCCTGAACCTCCCCGACCCTTTCTCTGTTCTTTGTTCCAGACGTTAATCCTGCTCTATATTTTCGTCCAGGGATTCCTGAACCTAAAATGGTCACGCTTTGCCCGAGTGATTCTGACCCGCTCTATTGCCATCATTCCCACTCTGCTTGTTGCTGTCTTCCAAGATGTGGAGCATCTAACAGGGATGAATGATTTCCTGAACGTTCTGCAGAGCTTACAGGTGAGGAGGGAGCCAGGGAAACTTACATCCCATTTAGTCAGGCAGCATTATGTACTGCCCTTGGGTACTAAGCCTAGTGCTGGGTGCTGGGGAGCAATTGAGAGGAAGAAAGAGGCATGGTCTGCAGTAAATGTATATGAAATTCCTGGCATCCAAAAGTCTTTTAGAAATAGTTTGGTATTTTTAAGCCTGTTGAATGGGAATTATGAGCTTTACTGACATGTAGAAGACACAATTACAGTTTATTAATACAAGCCACCATTAAATGAACATACAGGACGCCGCACTAGGTCCTGTAGAGGTTAAGAAGACAAGTCACATACAAATATTTGTAAAGACACAAAGATACTTGGGATCTTAATCGATGCTAGGTTTATGACAGCTGTACACATTGAACAAAATGCTTCAGCATGTTGGAATGATAATCATTTCTCATGGAGAAGATGAGGCAGGGTTCATGTTTCCCTTTCACTAGCCACGCGGTTCTCTAGGGTGATATGAGGACCCCTAGTAGCCCCGTCTGATCTTACTTCTTTCTTTTCCAGCTTCCCTTTGCTCTTATACCCATCCTCACGTTTACAAGCTTACGGCCAGTAATGAGTGACTTTGCCAATGGAATGTGAGTATTCTCCTCTTAGTTCCCCAAAGGGGATAGTGATATGTGGGAAAAGATGTCTTCATCCAAGAGGCCAGTGAGACATGATTCGTATAGGGGAGATATACGCTTTGAGAGGCGATTGCTAGCTGCTTACTCTTTGGCTTAGAAAAAGGAGACTGTGAATGTAGCAAAGGAGGAAGCACATTTTTCATCTCGGGGGATGAAAGCTTTCAGCTTTCAAGGCTTTAACTCTTCACCTTCAGCCACTGAAGTTTGAAGTACCTTAATTCTTTGTTAAATTATTTTAATGAAAAAGGCACAAGCTAGTACCTTTTATATATATTCATTTAAAAGGATATATGGGTATTTTTGCATTTCTAGGGATGTAAATACTAGGGATTATTCGATGGTATTTTCCCCGTTTCTCCTTGTCTTGGTCTGACTTTAGCCCATTTGACCTAATCTGGAACATAATAAGAACCATTTTTCACTTCATTTTGAAATGCCTCTGACTCCTTTCCTGTTTATCCAACAAGATGCAGTTTCCTTTTCTGTTTATGGCCGGGTTGAACTAATCCATCAGTGACTGTGCTCATTCCCTTACAGAGGCTGGAGGATTGCAGGCGGGATCATGGTCCTTATCGTCTGTTCCATCAACATGTATTTTGTAGTGATTTATGTCCAGGAACTAGGTCATGTGGCATTATACGTGGTGGCTACTGTGGTCAGTGTGGCTTATCTGAGCTTTGTGTTCTACTTGGTAAGTCCAGGCTGGAGGTGGTAGGGGCACAGGTATCAGGGATGGTAGAGGTGAGACTGACTGACATTTAGAAGTGAACAGATCCAAAAGAGCACATAGCAATCTACCTGCAGGTCTTTGAGACAAGTAATATGGAATTATCAAATCAGCTATTTATGAAACAATATTTCAAACCATAAAATTCACTTTGGTTCCTAAGATCTGTCATTTTTCAATTTCTGTTACTTCTATATGTTTTCCATTTTTAATTCCTAACAAGAGAGCATAGTATGTTTGAGGAAAGGAGGGTAGCAGTACAGAGAGTGGAGAGTGGTACAAGATGGAGTTGGAGAATGGGCAGTGTGATTTAGAGCTTTGGGGTGGGACACATGTGGGTGCACAGCCCAGCTCCATTCTACCACTTACTAGCTGACCAAGGAAATAAGCAAGGAGAGATGTTCTCTCACTGGATTGTTCTACAGTCATTTTAAAAAATCATGGCTATAGAACCACAGCTACATGGAAAAGGTATGTAACATTTATACAGAGATTATCAAAAAAATTTTAAGTCTAAATTATGTCAAAATAATAATAGTAATTGTCTTAGGAAGGTGAGATTATGGATATATTCTTCTCTGTTTTCCAAATCTTCCTTAACTTTGCTTATTTTAATGAGAAACAGCCAAAGCAACGATAATAGCAAGTCCACCCTCAGATGGAGGGTGGAAACCTGCTGTTGGTATGTGGAAGACTTACGTGGTCCCCATGCCAATATGCCACATGCTAGGTACTTGATTGAGAAAAATCACTTTAGTAAATATTGAAAAACACCTTGGATCGATACATCCCTTCTCTTTCTCTTCCCCGTAAATCTTGCGCACACAAAGATTGTACTGACTGTATGATCTAGGGACTGCCTTCAAGGAAAAACCAGGAACTGATTGTGTCCTTGACAGGAATCGTTTTCTGAAATTCACTGCAGAAGTTAGGGGAATCCTTTCATAATGCAAATTGGATATGAAGGTACCAAGTTGTCCTCAGTCAGCCTGAGACTAGTGAGATTGTTGAAGACCTAATTTTCGAGGTGAGGGCTGATTCTAGAGCAGGTTGCTGCTGTTTAGCTCCAAAACAGGAACTTCACAGAGCAGCTCAGGAGACTATGCCAGTTGGATTAATCTGTGATTCATTCTCCCCATTATAAGGAATGGGGAGGACTGGAGAAAAGTGGTCTTCGGGGAACTCCCAGTTGGATAAAAGAAACCACAAGCACAAAGCAGTAGGACAGAGAGAACTCATTATTGATAATAAGATGGAGAAACTACGTGGAGGAAGACAGATTTCAGGATTTTTTGAAGGAGGAGTGGAGTTGGGAGAATGACTCGTGCAACCTGTGGTGGTAGAAGAAGGGCAAAGCTGGATATTCAAGGAAGGGAACAGGTCTGCATTTGAGCAGCTGTGTGAGCAGTCATGGTGGGTAAGAGGGCTCCTCGAAGAGCCTGGCGAATGATGACCATATTTTATCTTTCAGGGTTGGCAATGCTTGATTGCACTGGGCATGTCCTTCCTGGACTGTGGGCACACGGTAAGCATCTCTAAAGTCCTGCTGACCGAAGAAGCCACCGGTGGCTATGCTAAGTAAACACTGGATTAGTCTGTCTGTCTTCCACAGGTAGCCATCAGAGCCAGTGTGTTTCTATGGTTTACTGTGTGAACATAGCTAAAAGTATGTGCTGATGCACAGACCGCATTTAGGACTCAAGTGTTGGTTGGGGGAGACTTTCTTTCATATGCGTTTCAAAAATGGAATTATTTTTCTTTTCTTGACATCCTAACCTGGGAACTGGATTAGGTAGGATCTTTGAAAAGCTGACATTTGCCGCTATCATTCCAACACTAAACTCTTAAGTAGCTGCCCAAGGGCTATCTAGCTTGTTTTATCCTTCTGAGAGGTAATCATGTATGCATGATTCTTGACCAGGCCATATGTTTCAAAAATGTTTGGAAAGTGCAAAACAGTTTTCATAATACAAACAGCTGAATGAGTATACAAGTTTTGTTTATCAAAACAGAGTGGATTTTCATAGGCAGAGAAATTCTTTTCTTAGGCATACCCTTTCAGTTATTGTAATTATACAAAAATCTCAACTAGGGTGGTCATCCAGATGAAATATAAAATTAAGAGACAGGCTTAGGATTCTTTTAACTTATTTCCACTTTAAATTTCTGAGTGGAAGTTCGAAGGGGTGAGAAAACAAAGGCGAAAAGTGGACAACTAGCAAAACTCCCCTGTAGGTGGTCGTTACTAATCACCTTTTGAAGATCTTCTCAGAGACTGGAAGCTTATCAGGGTTTTCTTGGGAGTCCTGATTTTAATAAACTTCATGTTAGTATAGAGCTCTGCTGATGATATTTAGTCTTGAGCACATACAGTTGTAAAACCTTCACTTTCCTCCTCCACGAGGTGGTGATAGAAAAAGATGATAGCATTTATGAACTGACATTCTCATGTGATTTTGGGGGTGGGGAGAAAAGACTCAAAGGAGGAAGAAGAGCCATCTGTTTTATTCCTAAAAGCCACGTCTCACCAGAATTCATCATGTTGTTCTGATGCACCACGCTGCCTCCTGCCCAAGATGACTCTAAGGCAATATCAGGAGTTGTGGAGCTAATCATTGGAAGGCCCGCTCACTGGCTGGCTCTCTCTCTCTCTCTCTCTCTGTCTCTCTCTCTGTCTCTCTCTCTCTCTCTCTCTCTCTCTCTCTCTCTCTCTCTCTCAGCAAGTCAGTAGGTGTCGCTGTGGTTGCAGTGTTGTGTCTGTCAGCAAGGTTGAACTGGGCTACCTCTCTACAGCTGTTTCCTCAGAGGGAAAAACTTTGAGACCAGATGTTGGAGCTCTGGAGTCAGAGGAAATGGGTGTCTTCGGCATGCAATTGCTGTCCTTTAGCCACTTGTGACATTTTTACATGTGAAGCCTGAGACTGTGGTTATCTCAAATCAATCACATTTGTCTGCTAGAGATAAATAATCGAAAGTCTTTTATAGCCATTGACGTGATGAGAACAGTAATGGGAATAGCATTGAAGGACTTCTCATTTTTGGAGCTTTCCTTCTGGAGTCCTGGTTGATTGATGTTCTCTGTTCATCTGAGCCCCCAAAGGCATTATTACTGATATTTTGCACATAGTCAAAAGTACAGACTGGATGGACTGTCTTTTATAAAGCATTAAGGGTACACTAGTGTGTTTTACTGACTAGACATTTTTCCTAGCTTCCCAAATAATAAGAGTACAGAATCATGAATGACAGTTCCCGTAACTGTTCCTCCTCATATCTGACCCTCTCCCCCTATGACCATCATTCCCCAAACTCGTTGTAAAGGTACTCTGTGAAGATAATCAGGGACTGACATCCTAAGGCATCCCTGATTGTCATGGAGGAATGGACCATTGACCTTTGGATTTTGGCATTTGTATCTGGACAGGTGAGGGTATTTTAAGGTACCTCGCAGCACAGAGGAGTAACTCCTTTCTCCATCTGAGGAAACTGTGGAATTCCTTTTCGGGTTGGGAGCCTCCCTGGAGGCCTCAGCCATTTGGGAGATAGGACCTTCAGGCTCTTCTGTCCATATAGGGAATTTCAGGAGAAATCCCATTTGGGTTGGAAGTCTCAACCATTCATTTGGGAGAACAGGACCTCCGACTGTTTGTATTTGGCACTCCCTAGGCTTATTTGTTGGAACTACAGTGCGTTTGGAGTGTGAGTGTGTTTGTGTGTGTGACTATGGAAATAAGAATTCAAGCCGTAAATGTACAAGTTGTACAGTGGGAATTCTCCGTCTCTGCCGTTTGGGCTTTTACACCATTTGGACCTAGGACAGATCCATGGTGGTAATGGTTGCTTGGAGATGAGATTCTTGAAAACTTCTCTCTAGTCTCCCTCTGCAGAAATTTGATTGGAAGTATTCTATTTGTTTTCAGTTTTATTTTGTATAATGTGGTGTTCCCAGGCCTGTGGTTGAAACCTTTTAAATTTCTCTTTGTATTGAGTGTTTACCTATATTAGTATGTTACATATAAAGGTACTGTCTATGAGAATGTTTAAAGAGATGCCAGGTTTTTTAGGATTCCAGGTGGCCTCCACATATTATGTTCTGTTCTCAGGCACATGTTTAAACTGATGGGCAAATTAAATCAAGAAAATTTCAGAGTTCAGGTGGACAATCTGCCCCTTTGGAGTTAAAATGAAAAGTTTGTTAAACTGTCTTTTGCCTGCTGAAGCTGCAGTTGCTAAGTTACAGGTGTTGATATGGAGCTGACTGAACTAAGTTATCACAAATTCAAGGCCAACCAGGAACAGCCAGTTACTCATTTGAAACTGAAGGAAAAAAAAAGGTTAAAGACGCCATTTTAAAAAGAAAACCCAAATTGTCATGAAAGCTGCTTTACCCAAAACTTTAGTCTATAATTTTCGTTACATTACCTATTGAGGCAACTAAAGTTTGGCCATGTGAACAAGTCCCAACTTTGTCAAAAACAATTTGATCCAACCATGTTTTACAAACTGGTCTGAATATGGCTATGAGCCTATAAAGAAAAAATGGCATATTTGTATAATACTGCCTGGCTCCTGCACTCTCTGAGGTCTGGGGAGATGTGGCCCCTTAATGGCTCATTGAGCTGCAATACCATTCTCCTATTAAATTCATTTTGTCACTGTGTTGGGAAACTGGATAAAGTCCCTGATGTACAGTCTTTTATGCTTCTGTATCAAAACAAGCCAGATCAAATTAAATATAAGATTCTATACTGAGGACAAAAGCTTTCAAGAAGGTCAGGAAACAAAATGCCAGATCTAAAATCCCCGTCTTACCAGCAGAAGAAAATGGCCATGATGAAGAAGACCTCTGGTGAGCCGTAGCAGCAGCTCTAGCTGTGCCTGTGCCAGCTCAGGCTCAAGCTGAGGCTGAGGCGCCGGCGGCAGTGGTGGCTCTGGCTACAGCTCCGATTGCTTTCAGAGCTCCCTCTGCCAACCCTGCTGCCCGCCTTATGGCTCTAGGCCCCTTTCTTCAGCCCCACTGGCTCCTCCAGTGCTCTATCCTTCATTTTCTTCCTTCTCTGAGAATAGTCGGGGGAAGCATGGGGACATGGTCTCTCCTTCACATACCCAGCAGGGTACACGATTGTTCGGGGTCCTCCCTCCTCCTCAGCAGGGCAATTTCCTTTAAGACACGTCCCTGTAGGAGGAATAAATGAAAATAAAAAACCAGCTGGATTAATATGGGTTTATAGCCCATTTACCACTTCTGATTTGTGTAATTCGAAACAGAATAACTCTGCGCACAGGGACAATCCAAAGCCTATAACTAATCTGTTTGAATCCATTTTCACCATACATCATGCCACATGGACAGATGTCCAGAGCCTGCTTAACATACTGTTAACCTCTCAGGAGCATCACATTATCCTGGAAAAGGCTCTAGAAGAAGCTGACCAAGTACATACAGAAGACCCAAATAACCAGGAGAGAGCTCGAGCTAATCTGGCCATCCCTATGCATGACCCCACTGGGACTCAAACAACGGAAATGAAGGTAAGATTCAACATTTTCAAGACTGCATCCTGGTTGGGCTTAGAAAACAGTCTCCAAAATTAAAAGCCTGAACAGGCCAGGTGTGGTGGCTCACGCCTGTAATCCTTGCACTCTGGGAGGCCAAGGCGGGAGAATCGCTTGAGGTCAGGAGTTCGAGACCAGCCTGAGGAAGAGCGAGACCCCCATCTCTACTAAAAATAAAGAGAAATTAGCCAGACAACTAAAAATAGAAAAAATTAGCCGGTGTGGTGGCGCATGCCTGTGGTCCCAGCTACTCGGGACGCTGAGGCAGAAGGATCGCTTGAGCCCAGGAGTTTGAGGTTGCTGTGAGCTAGGTTGATGCAATGGCACTCTAGCCCAGGCAAGAGAGCAAGACTCTGTCTAAAAAAAAAAGCTGAACAAAGTTCAGGGGATAAGACAGGAAACAGATAAAAATCTATCAGCCTTCCTAGGAAGGATTATGAAAGCATATCAAAAATTCACTAATATAGAGGTGCGGCGGGGGAAGTAATAAAAAAAAATTCACTAATATAGATCCAGAAAGTCCTGGTGATTCAATGTTAATTAACATGACCTTTCTTGGCCAGAGCATGCCTGATATCCAGCAGAAGTTACAGAAGTTAGAGGGGGTTCTTTCCTTGCCCATATCTCGTTTGGTTGCAGTAGCCTATAAAGTCTTTGTAAACCGTTAACAGAAAAAAGAAATATATGTGAAATGAGACAACAACAAAACGTTTGGCAACATTCTGACAGAAAACACTAGGGAGTCCGCTCAACCGGAACCACTACCCCACAGAGGAAAAAGATTAAAAAGAAAAATTTCCTTAAAAAAGGACCAGTGTGCCTACTGCAAGGAGATGGGTCATTGGAGGAAGGATTGTCCTAAGTTACCACAAAAGAGTAATGGGGAGCCTACTGTACAATGAATGGTGCTGAATGCAGAAGACATGAAATGATGGGTCCCTACGGCTCCCCAGAATTCTCGGGAATTACAGCCAGTGATGAATATCTCCCACTAGGAGCCCAGGGTAACCACAAAAGTAAGAGAAAGTGATTGAGTTCCTAATTGATACCAGTGCAACTTACTCAGTTTTAAACTTTAAATTAACTAAGCTTACTAAAGACTTAATGCTGGTGACTGGGTTATCTGGAAAACCCTCCCAAAAATATTTTCTGCAAACACTGGATTATTATTGGGAATTCTTTCCTCACATGCAGCTTTCTGTACATGCCTGAATACCCTCTCCTACTGCTGGGTAGAAACCTTCTCTCTAAATTGCCGGCTCAAATAATCTTTCAGAATAAACAAGTGCATATTGCAGTTCCCCCAAAACATGCTTGTGCCTTGCAAGCAGCTCTCCTCGCTCCCTTGGCTGTCCCTCAAGAGCTGCCCACTGAAGTCCTCAATCAAGTAAACCCTGAGGTTATGGGCTACCGGAAACCTGGAAGGGCACATTGTTCATATCAAGATAAAACCAGCAATTTCTCCCCCTCCACTCAAAGAGTATCCATTAAAGCTTCAAACTAAGAAGGGCCTTCAACTCCTAGTTATGTATGGCCTTTTTAAAATATGGACTTCTCCACCTTGTAGCTCTCCTTATAACAGTACCATTTTGTCAGTTCAAAAACCTTGAACTCATGAACATCAGTTTGTTCAGGATCTGAGAACCATAAATCAAATAGTGAAAGACATTTATCCTATGGTATCTAATCCTTATACTCTTCTCACCACTCTGTCTGGGAATTTCACTTGACTTTCAATGATAGACTTAAAGGATGCCTTCGTTTATATTCCCCTTGCTCCTGAATCACAAAAACTCTTTGCTTTCAAAAGGGAGGACTTAAGGACTGAAACCAAATGTCAGTACTGTTGGAGTATCTTCCCCCAGAGATTAAAAATTTCTCCAACCATCTGTGGAGAAATTCTAGGTAGAGATTTAAGAGAAGTAATTTTAGAAAAGGGAGTGATTTTATAGTATGTAGGTGATATTTTATTACAAGTGAGAGTGAAGCTGAATCAAGACAGCATACTGGAACTGTATTGAATTTCTTGGCTGACAAAGTATAAAACATCCCAGAGAAAGGCCCAAATCACACTGCCCATTGTCAAATACTTGGGATTTAAGTTGTCTCAAGGGACTGGTAACCTACTCCCAGACTGGAGGGAGACTATAAACAGGGTAGCAGTCGCCACTCACAAGCAACAGGGAGGATTCCCTGGAATGGCAGGGTTTTGTTGGCTTTGGATTCCTAGCTTTGGCTTAATAACCACACCTCTCTATAAAACCTTAAAAAGAGAGGTAAAGGAGCCCCTTACTTGAATAGGAAAATGTCAAAAGTTTTTTTTAACTATTAAAGAAAAACTGATAACTGCCCTGTTCTGGGCCTCCTGAGTTTGCACAAGCCTTTTGATTAGTTCATCCAAGAAAGACAAGGAATTAGACTGGGGGTATTAACCCAAACTTTCGGAATTCATAAGCGTCCCATGGGTTGTTTGTCTAAACAATTAAATATACTAGCAAAAGGATAGCCCACCTACTTGAGAACAGTTGCCGCTACTTACAATATTTTACAAGAAGCTGAGAAAGTTATGCTTGGACAGCCAGTAATGGTTCATACTGCGTGTTATGGTTACCCCTACTAGAACAAAAGGGGGGCTATTGGTTAACAGCTGGCTGATTAGGCAAATATCAAGCTACTCTGTTAGATAATCCTAATGTAACTTTAAAGACAGTGTCCACCTGAATCCCACCACCTTGCTGCCTGTAGACTCTCACTCCCCAGTTCATGATTGCATTCAAATCATTGACCAAGTATACTCTAGCCTTCCGGAGTTGACTGATCAGCCTTTGTCAGACCCAAATGAAGAATTCTTCACAGATAGGAGCAGCTTCATAGAAAATGGATAAAGCAAAGCCAGGTATGCTGTAGTTACCAACCAACAAGATGTATTGAAGTTTACCCCAACAAGACTGAACGGGCATCAGAAGTCAGTAAGGCTGTTTTAAAGGAAATTATTCCTAGGTTTGAACTTCCATCAACTCTCCAAAATGATAACAGAACAGCTTTTATTGTCAAAATCACTCAAAAAATATCAAATATCAAAAATTTTATAAATCAATTGGAAATTACATTCATCATGGAGACCTCACTCTTCTGGGAAAACTGAATGGATAAATAGAACTTTGAAAAAGACCCTCCAAGATTTGTGAAGAGACCAATTTAACTTGTAACAAAGTGTTACTTCTTGCCCTGTTAAGACTTCAGGTGGCCCCCAGAAGTAAATTGGCACTTAGCCCCTTTAAATTTTTATGTGGGAAACCATTCCTAAGAGCTTCCAGCCAGGGCTCAACCAATGATTCAAGGAGATGGAGGCTTGTTCATATGTAAAACAACTTTGTAATATGCTAACTGCTATTTCTGAATTTACTTTGAACAGGCTCCAGTTTCTAACAAAAGTGCCCCTTCATTCCATAAAACCAGGAGACAAAGTATTACTGAAAACCTGAAGAAAGCAACATCCTGAAGATCAACTACAGCCACAGTGAATTGGCCTATTTGAGGTGCTCCTGACAACTCACTCATCAGTCAAACTCTCAGGAGTTAAGCCATGGATTCATCACACTCAAATAAAAGAGGCACTCCTACCAGAGACCCCATGCCTCCAGCATTCACCACCTTCTGAGGGACTGGAAAAACAGTGGGCTTGTAAACCCTTAGAGGACCTAAAATCACTCTTCCACAAAAAAAATAAGTAGCATCAAATTATATACCCTATACATCTTATTTGTTCCTTGGGAATTTTTGCTTGTCTGATAAAACAATTCTTTAGTAAAAATTTCCCAAGCTATTGCCTCCTCTGCTAACCTATCTAACTGCTGGGTTTATCATCCAAAACCTCATTCAGTGCAAGACCATTTTAAGCCTGTTCTTGTTCCTGTATCCAGTTTCACTAATGTACCCTCCTGTGTACCCTCCTGAACTTACAGAAGCCTGCCTCTTGGATTACTTACAGAGTATGACTAAACTCCGTACTCAGAGGTTCCATGTTTCTTTCTTACACAGCCCCTTATCAGATGTTATATACTAAAGAAACCCATACTCAAATAAGTGTGCATTCTACTGGGCAATGGGTTTCTCTAAATTGACCACTGATTGTAAAAACTCTACTACTAGCTTTTCTGTACCACCCTCTTTAGATTATCTCATTAACAAATGTTCTAATCCCTCAGACAAGGACCATGAGACCCTTGTTTTTACCATAGTACATCAGCAAAAGCTATGTTCTTAAAACTTTAGAAAACTAGCAACCTGTCAGCTCCTAGAGGGACAAAATCAACTCCCTTACAGAGACCCTTGGTTTAAAAATTTAACCCTAATGCTACCTAACAATAGTTCTATAAGCCTTCAAACAGGAGCAGGTACTATTTGTGCACCTCTTGGATATATTTTTGTCTATGGAAACAAGAAAGAAACTCCTTGGACTTACGATTGCTTAAACAGCTAGTCAGTAGAGGACACTTGTTTATTAAGAGTCCTCACAACACCCTTTTCAGTCCATAACAGATCTGAAATTGCTCATTGGACCAGCCTCCTAAAATTGTTTTCACGAGTAACCAGGGGAATCTTAAACGGAGATTCCATCTGGGAAGCCCCAAGACAATACTCCCAGGAGGAATCCCAGATGGAGATAATTACTTCTTGGGGCCTACCCTACTGCCCTGGTGGGCAGTAGCAGCTCACCAACTTGTGCTTCACAACCTATCTATAACCTTAAAAATGATTGTTAATGAAACTGCGTTAGCAATAGCTGCTCAACAACATCGTTAAACTCTTTAGCTCCAGTGGTTCTTGATAATGGCATTGCTCTTGACTATATTTTAACAGAACAAGGAGGTATTTGTGTTATAGCTAATTCTTCACATTGGACTTACAGTAATACCTCCACAGAAGTAAAAACACATGTTAATAAAATTAGACAACAAACTTCGTGATTACAAAAGGTTAATAAAGATGATGTAGGAATAGGAGATTGGTTCTCAGAACTATTAGATTCCTCAGAATACTCCCTCCATTCTTTTAAAGATCTTAAAATTTAGCCTTTCTCTCCTACTACTAACTTTCTTAATTTATCTCATTAGAAGTATCTTAATTGGCCGAGCGTGGTGGCTCACGCCTGTAATCCTAGCACTCTGGGAGGCTGAGGCAGGCAGATTGTTTGAGCTCAGGAGTTTGAGACCAGCCTGAGCAAGAGCAAGACCCTGTCTCTACTAAAAAAAAATAGAAAGAAATTAGCTGGACAACTAAAAATATGTATGGAGGCCAGGCGCAGTGGCTCACGCCTGTAATCCTAGCTCTCTGGGAGGCTGAGGCGGGTGGATTGTTTGAGCTGAGGAGTTCAAGACCAGCCTGAGCAAGAGTGAGACCCCGTCTCTACTAAAAATAGAAAGAAATTAGCCAAACAACTAAAAATAGAAAAAATTAGCCAGGCATGGTGGCGCATGCCTGTAGTCCCAGCTACTCGGGAGGCTGAGGCAGAAGGATTGCTTGAGCCCAGGAGTGTGAGGTTGCTGTGAGCTAGGCTAACGCCACGGCACTCACTCTAGCCAGGGCAACACAGTGAGACTCTGTCTCAAAAAAAAAAAGAAGTATATTAATTAAATATAGATTAAAATGTTTTAATACCACAAACAAAAATACTTAAGTGATGGCACTAGAAACTTTCGATCATTTGCCTATGACTCATGAGCACTTTCAGCAATGGGTCAAAACTTTCATTTCTCATACCCTAACAACACCCCACTTCAGCAAGGAGCAGCTAAATCAATCAATGCCCCGATTCCCTAAGATTGAGGAATAAACCAAGAAAAGGGAGGAAGTTTTAACCGAATAAGCAGGAAATAAGCAGGAAAATATTTTCTCAATAATGTTTTTAGTTCCCTCTGTTTCAAATGAGTTTTCAGTGTTCACATTATGGCTGGGGCTGGCAGCTCTAAGTGGTCTTGACTGCAAGATTTATCTCAGCCCTGGTAACTTAGCAGCTACAGTCTCAAATTAGACAGAAAATAGAGAACTCTTCAGTAAAATTTGCAGACCAGAAATTTGTTAACTTTCTGTTGCAATGATGCATTCTCTTTTGAGTTTCTTTCCCAGGAACGGGCGAACCTCCTATAAAGCCTCAGACCACCTGTGTGTCCAGGAAAGACAAGTGATACCCCACCGCAGACTATGCCCAAAGACCCACTGAGCCTGCACACAAGGCTGAAACAATGACCAATATTAACCCCTACCTCATTATAATACTAACATCTCCACCCTGGGAAGGACATATCTGCCATTTTTTGATCATGGGACGTGTGTACTAGCATGATTTCCCACTGCGCTTGTGTGCCCTGCATTCCACCCCAAACACACAATGATACTCACATCCTGCAGAAAAACCCCCTGATCCTGCTGGTGGTTGGGGAGCAGATTTGGGGCGATTCTTAACCTCTCCCTCTCTGTTGATGTGTCCACGGAAATAAATCCTTTCCTCCTTAACAATCCTTGCTATCTCAGTAATTGGCTTTCTGTGTGGCAGGCAACAGCGAACCCCCCTTGTGGGTTCCTAAACAGGTGTACAAGATGGAGGCAGTATGGTGTCGGAGTTGAGTGCTTGCTGGCTCCCAGGTCTAACATATTTGTGTTCAAAGCCTGGCTTTGCCGCTAGTTAGTGCCCCTAGCTATGTGTCAGGAAATTACTGAACCCTCCTAAACCTCAAATTCTAATTTGCAAAATGAAGATAATAATAGTTCCTACCTCATGAGTTTATTGTGAGGATTAATGCATGTTTGTGGAATGTGAAATGCAGTGTTTGCCACATAACAAGAATTCAGTTAACGTCAGTTCCTCTGAGAAGTGGGCACTAAGAAGACAAAAGTGCAGTGTGTGTATGTTGGGGGAAACAGGTGCCTAAAGGAAACAGTGGGGCTATGGTAGAGTCTAATTGTAAAATCCATTGTTATTTTTAGATTTCCTAAACTCAAATAGGCCTTTTCCCTCCAAGACCTCAGTCATGGGTGATTTTACAGGTGCTTCTATTTTCCCGTGAAGGGGGACCAACTGCCCCCTCCAAAATGTGCAGAGACAGCTTTGCCTTAGGCAACTTATCTGATGTAGAGGATGGACAGGAGAGAGGTCAGGTTGTAGTGATATGACTTTCCTGCTTCAGAGAAGCCTGAAGCAAAGAGATCTTCATCTGGAGTCCTGGAAGATCCCTCGTTCCCTCTGACTCAATGATTGTTCTGTATAGGACCAGAGCTGCTTGCTGGAAGCCTACCTTGCCTAATTTGAATTGACTACTGCTCTTCTTTCTATTCTAAGGTTTTTATGATACTAAGCAGATTTTCTTTAAAACTACTAGAAAACTGCCTGCTACCTGAAAGCAACAACTGCTTTCTTCCTTTCTATATCTCACCCCATTCCAGTGCCTTGTCTTTTCAGGTTTGCCTTCTAAATCATTTCCCTGAGGCAAATTTTCCCTATTTTTTCAGTTCCCCTCCTCCCAGAATGAGAAATTCTGGGTTTGCCCTGGATTTCTTTTTTGCAGTCTCAGGGTTTTTTCCTGTCTTTTTCTTTTCCATCAGGCACCGAGTCCTGAGTTTGGCTGGCTCTGCTATCTGCCTGTGGTTCACTGATTGACCAGGCTGATGCCAGCGGTTCCCTCAGATCCCAAGGGATAGACAGGGCGGCATTTTCACCCACACTCTGAGACTCCTCGTAATTGCATCAGTGCTGCACGTACCTACGTGGAAAATACATGTGGACTGTCAGGTGTGGCGTTAATTGGTTTCACCTCCTGTCTCAGTGGAGCAGAGTCCTAGTGCACTTGTACCCCTGGTACAAGTGCCTGAACCTGCTTCACTCCAAGGGGAGCTGTGAAGGGAAGTCTTGCTCTGCCCCTTTCATCCACTGGCACTCACAGGCCCACCACCAGCTCCTGCTCCTGCCAAATGGGACAGAAATGAAATCTTGCAATAAAAGTTTTTGAACTCAATAAATTGTTAATGAATGTCTAGGAGTGTCATGGTTCAGTCAAGGTCTGGACTTTGAAGTGTCGCCCCAGTTCTTGGCCTCCTGGCTTGGAGGAATCGCAAGCCTTGGCCTGAAGGAAGGAGAGAGATGACAGACACTCAGCAAGTATGCATGAAGAATTGATCATAAGGGAGGTTTAAGGGTCCAAAGCGAAAGTACATTTCGTCCGGGGAACTGGGTCTGACTCTGCAAGTGGAGAAGACCCTAATTAACTCTAGAATTCCTCCTTTTATGTTAGTAGTTTATGCTAAAGGTTAGTTATAATTACTCACGACTATATGTCATGGGGACTGAATTTTTCCAGGTGTGGACATACCTTAAGGTTATGTTCCAGTCATTTCTTTCTCACATATGATGTGATGATGATGTGATAGGATGTGATGGGGAAAGTCCCTGGTTAAGGTGTTTTTCTATTTTCTGATTGGTGGTCAGTGTTCCATCATCTAATCACCCTATTCTTTAAGACTGAAATAACTGTTTCCCCTGGTTATTTTTCTGTAACTATTTCCTCCTTATTGTTTTCCTATAACTGTTTCTTCCCTTTGTTTTTTTGCCTCTATCATTCCATTACCTCTGACCTGTTTCACTGTCCCTCATGTTGGGGTGGAAAGGCTAGTAGGTGCTCATGGCAAGGGTGTTAGTGAGAGAACTCAGAGGATTGATCTTTAATTGTTACTGGGGAAATGGTGGGATTAGGTATTTTCCTGTTATTTTTGCAAGGCCGCCCCTTTCACCTAACAGGAGTGGCAGATACATGTGCTTCCCTTTTCATGGCAGGTCAAAGATGAAATTTGATTATGCTTTGGATTGTGTGGTTTGCCTCTTGAAATTCTTTCTTTTGTTTTTATATGAAGGGGGAGGTTATGAGGAGGGGTGGTCAGTTTTCTTGTTTTTTTGTGTGTGTGTTGTTGAGAGAGAGTCTCACTCTGTTACCCTGGGTAGAGTTCAGTGACGTCACTGTACCTCATGGCAACCTCCGACTCCTGGGCTCAAGAGATCCTTCTGCTTCGCCCTCCCCAGTAGAGAGTAGCTAGGACTACACGTGGTGCCACAATACCCAGCTGGCTTTTTTTAAAATTTCTTTTTGGTAAAGACGGGGTCTCACACTTGCTCAGGTTAGCCTCAAACTCTTCAGCTTAAGCAATCATCTGCCTCAGACTCCTAGAGTGCTAGGGTTATAGGCATGAGCCACCGCACCCAGCTATGAAAAAGTTCTAATAACCAATGGTTAATACAGTTTTCTGACACTCTCTCAGACCTCTGAGCAAGATTAAATCTTATTCCAAAAAAACTTAATTCCATTTCTTTTTTCTTATGTGCTAAAAATGTTGTAAAAGGAAAATAACTAAGAATACTATAATATTCATGTATGTATCTATCACCCAAAATTAATATATACTATCATAACTATTTTCTCCTTCCAAGTCCCATTCTATTTCTTTTCTCCCTCCCTTTAATTTTAGTTTTAGTTTTTGTTGTTGTTTTGTTTTTCTGAGACAGGGTCTTGCTCTCTTTTCCGGACTAGAGTGCTGTGGCATCATCACAGCTCACTGTGACCTCAAGCCCCTGGACTCAAGAGATCCTCCTGGCTTAGTCTCCCCAGTAGCTGAGACTACAGACACGTACCACATGCCCAGTCAATTTTTTAATTTTTTGTAGACAGGGGCTTCCATTGCCCAAAGTGGTCTCAAACTCCTGACCTTAAGCAATACTCCCACCTGGGCCTCACAAAGTGCTAGGATTACAGGCATGAGCCACCGTGCCCAGCCTCTCTCCCTTTAAGCAGTCCCTGTATAGCAGTCTGCTTTTAACTCTGTGAGAGTGTGTGTGTGTCTATGTGTGTATACATACAAATAGTATATGGTTGTTTTTTTTTAAGATACAGGGTCTGGATATGTGGCCTCAAATTTCTGGGCTCAAGCTGTCCTCCCACCTCAACTTCCCAAGTAGCTACATAGTTCATGCCATTATACCTCGTAATGGTATTTTTTAATGTTTTAAATTTTATTTATTTTATTTTTACAGATTTATAGGGTACATGCGCAGATTTGTTACATGAATATATTTTGTAATGGTAAAGTCTGGGCTTTTTGTGTAACCCTCACCAAATTAGCATACATAGTACCCATTAGGTAATTTCTCATCACACACTTCTCTCCTACTCTCCCATCCTCCCTTCCGAGTCTCCAATGTCTATTATTCCATTCTCTGTTCCATGTGTACTCATTATTTACCTCCCCCTCATAAGTGATAACATGCAGTATTTGCCTTTCTGTTTCTGAGTTATTAATATTTTACTTAAGATAATGGCCTCCAGTTCCATCCATGTTGCTGCAAAAGACATGATTTTATTCTTTTTTTTTTTTAAAGACAGGATCTCTCTCTCTCTCTCTGTTGCCCAGGCTGGTGTGCAATGGTGCAGTCATACTTCAGCCTTGAACTCCTTAGCTCAAGTGAGCCTCCTGAGTATGTAGGACTACAGGCACTCACTGCCACACCTGGCTAATTTTTTTAAATTTTTTATAGAGACAGGGTCTCATTATATTGTTCAGGCTGGCTTTGAACTGGCCTCAAGAGATCCTCCTACCTCAGCCTCCCAAAGTGCTGGGATTACAAGCATGAACCACTGCACCCAGCCAATTTCATTACTTTTTATGGCTGAGTAATATTCCACGGTATATATGCCACATTTTCTCTATTCAGTCGTCAGTTAATGGACACTTAGGTTGATTCCATATCCTTGCTATTGTGAATAGTGCTGTGATAAACATGTGAATGCAGGTATCATTTTAATAGAATGATTTCTGTCCTTTGTGTAGGTACCCCGTAGTGGAATTGCTGGATTGAACCTAGTTCTTTGAGAAATCTCCATGCTCTTTTCCACAGAGGTTGTAAATAATTTACATTCCCACCAGCAGTGTATAACCATTTCCTTTTCTCTGCATCCTCACCAACATCTATTGTTTTTTGACTTTTTAGTAACGGCCATCTGACTGGTATAAGATCGCATTTTCTTTGCATTTGTGATGATCAGTGATGTTGAGCATTTAAAAATTCATTTAATTGGTTTCATGTGGCACTTATTTTTCTGCGTCTTGTTTTGTTTCCCTTAACTTTACTTTCGAAATTCATTCAGACAGATCAAGTTCATTAATTACAGCCGCTGTGTGGTGTCCCATCACATGAATACACCGAGATTCATTTACTCATATGCCACTGATAGACATTTACGTTGTTTTCAATGTGTCATTATTACAAACACAATATTGTAGAGAAAATCCTGGAACATGTCTCCTTGTGCTAACATACAAGAGTTTCTCTTAAACAATGTTCAATGTTTTCATTTTGTTTTGTTTTGTTTTTTATTTTTTGAAACAGGATCTCCCTCTGTTGCCTGGAGAACGCAGTGGTGTTATCAAAACTCACTGCAACCTTAAACTCCTGGGCTCAAGCACTGTTCCTGCCTCAGCCTCCCAAGTAGTTGGGACTATAGGTGCATGCCACCATGCCTTGCTAATATAAAAACATTTTTTTTTGTAGAGACGGGGTCTTGCTATGTTACTCAGGCTCAGAGCTTTTTATTCAAACCACTATGGATACATATTTTATATTAAGACCCAATTCATGTATGCAATAACAGTTTAACAAAATAATACCTGCCCTTGCTGCAGGCTATTTCCTACTCTATTGCATTCTATTCTATTTAATTTTTGTAAAATGCTGGACATGACCCACTAAATTGATTTCATGACCAATTAATGGATTGAAAAACAATACTCTAAGACTGTAGTCCCCAACCCTGGGGCTGCCGACTGGTACCCGTCTGTGGCCTGTTTGGAACCGGGCCGCGCAGCAAGAGGTGAGCAGCAGATGAGTAAGCAAAGGTTCATCTGTATTTACAGCAGCTGCCCATCACTCACCATCCCCCTCCACTGCCCCAGGGTCTGTGGAAAAATTGTCTTCCACGAAACCAGTCTCTGGTGCCAAAAAAGTTGGGGACTGCTGCTCTAAGGTATATATCCGGAAGTAAACTTTACAGACCAAAGGGTAGGTGCATTTTTAACTTGAGTAGATATTCTCAAGTTGCTCTCCAAAGTGGTTGGGCCAATTTTGCAGGGTATGAGTTCTAGTTTCTGTACATTATCACCAAGACTTAAAATGGTGAGACTTTTAATATTTCTGGTGTTTTTAGCGACAGAGTCTTGCTCAGTCACCAAGGCTTAGTGCAGTGGTACCATCATAGCTCACTGCAGCCTCAAACTGCTGGGCTCAAGGCATCCTCTTACCTCAATAGGACTATAATGCATGCACCACCATGCCCAGTTAAATTTTTTATTTTTATTTTTTTAAAGTCGGGGGTCTCGCTACATTGCCCAGGCTGGTCTTGAACTCTTGGCCTCAAGTGATCCTTCTGCCTTGGCTTCCCAAAGTGCTGGGATTACAGGTGTGAGCCACTGTACCTGGCCAGACTTTTAGATTATTGATAGTCTAATACATGGGAAATAAATCTCATTGTCAGTTTAATTTGCATTTTCCTGATTACTAGAGAGGTGGAGTGGATTTTATTATTTAGATATTTAATATTTAGATATTATCATTCGTCATTT